ACTAATGTGTACAAATTATCTACCCACTGCTTTTCCAGAAGTAATAATTCCTTAAAAAAATAAGTTGATCACTCAATCCACGACTGCTTGTGGGACACTGCTGTGCGCAATTGGCTGCCGTGTTTCGCCCACATAATATATAGTCAATTCACTTTACAGTATCTGTGAAGTGTTTTGAGACGTCTCGAAGACATGATAAGGCGTTATATCAAATGCAAGTATTATTAGCCTGTTACTGCATCTCACAAGATGTCTGCATAATGCAAGGACACAAGAAACCTGCATAAAGTTGGTAATGCAGTGAGTATATGGAGGAAAGATTGCGAATGACTGATTTTGGAATCAGCTCAAGGCTGTTTGGGATGTTGGCTAGACTTGTGATATTTCATGCTCAGAAAAGAGACTTCAGTAGGTCTGAGGAGCAAGACTATTGATAATGAAAAGCAAGAAAACAAACCTAACAGGAAAAAGAGATAAGGCAAGAGGGGAGGAGCCTTGTGAGACCAAAGGTGAAGAGTTACGGGAGGTCGGACTATCTCAGAAATGATTGTATGGAACGGGTAATGTTGTGTTTGCGATACCAACAGTTGTGCTTAATGGAGTCATAGCTCCAATTCTATTTTTTGGACTGTACTCATGAGAGAGGGCGGGGACTGTCCATTAGATCATATATCATTGGTTGGACAGCAGATCCAATGACTTAGAAGTAGTCACTCTGTGTCTGAACATGTGCACTTAAATTTACATCCATTCTTTCAGCATCAAAATCTGTATAACCATCGTTTCTTAGCATTTTCAATGTTCCTTCTCTAAGAGTAAGCATTCTTGAAATTAGCTTGAACAGTTTTACACAGTTCCCAGTGGATGTGGGTCCACAGTATAAAACTGCCTTTGATTTAAAATTGTCAATCTCACTCAGAAATAATTTGTGGAGTAATGCCATGGAGGACCTATTATAGGATTGGGATAAATCGCATTGTTTTGGGCAGAATAGAGGGCAGTTTACCTCTGGCAGTAGTATTCCTTATCGGGGAATTCATGGTGAGTGGAAGGCGGTAATGCTTCACAGTAAAATTTTGAGGTTTGACGTAAGGATTAATTGTTAGAATAGTTTTGCTTTTGTAGAGGAAACTTGTTCTACTATACATAATGTGTGTTTTGAAAATGACCAGAAATGCATTTGTATATTATAAGATGGACCACTGAGATAAAATCCTTGTGTATGTCAATGCACAAACTGGTAGCAACAGTACTCAAGCGTTAAGACTGTCAATGTACATGAACTTGCCCTTATCTCTGGAGGAAAGCTTGTTGATTTCAAAACATATCTTTGAACAAAGAGATGTCTCCCATTATTATTCAAGTATTGCACTTAGCAACTTGAGAAGAAGGAACTTTGATATCATTGGTGAAGGTGTGTGTAGACAGTCTCACACTCCTAACTGAGGAGGAAAGAAGAAACGTGGGAAAACAAACTGTATTTAAGAAGATTACAAGAAATTAAGCCAAAATTTTAAATTGTACAAACTATAACCTCTGCTAAACCCACTACTGGTGGTTTTCTTTTCTCTTTTGTAGACCTATTCTATAATGGCTGTGACTAATGAACTCCCAGAGAATGAGTGCTGATTTTGTATCTTGGTTTGCTTTCATAGTGAATTCTGTCTGCAGTTCTGTATAAGTGTATCATCATAAACCAGTTTTACTGGTTTTCGTGCAGTCATGTTCGCTGTTTGTTCACACAACTCACATGTTCAGCATTTGCAAATTTATAGAAATTTCAAGACTGTTTCCAGATTTTAAAACCTTCTCTTAGATATTTCATTGCAGGAGTTTTATTTCATAGAAAGCTGGAGAGAAAGTTAATGTTGGAACACAAAGAAAGTAGCCTGAAAATGTCAATAAAAGTGGAGTGAGACTGAATATTAAAGTAGTGAAATTTGACAGTGCTTGTTATAAAATGGTGTTTGGGAAGAGAGGGTCCATAAAATCTGAGTTATAATGGGTGGGTGGGGCTGCAGTGGCTGGTTTCATTGCACATGTGTGCAGCCAGCTAGCCGTTTCCCACGTGCCGGTCAGCTTCCACACTGAAAAGCAACCTGAATTTCGAGTCATCATGGTACTGCCAACGTCACTGCTTGTGAGCCTGCATGCACAGTACACAGAAAGTGACGTCCTGATGACATGGAAGTTTAGCATAAACACAGTCAGTGCACATGAAGCAAGGCAGCCAGCTGCCTACATTACGTAGTAAATTAGGTCCTCCTGCCATTTGTGCTATAAGCAAGTCTGTGTTATAACAAAATGGGGTTGTACTATAGCACACTGATATCTTGATTGTTGAACAGGTTTGCTGATTTACAGAAGTTGAAGTTCTTTGTTTCTTCTGCAATTGAGTTTTATCAGCCTAATAATTACCATTACTGTTCCTAAACAATTAATAATACAATTGGTCGAAGTTTCACAATTCCATGTGTTTCCAACACACAAGCATCCAGCAGCCCAATTAATACATCAGCCTCTGGGGATCTTTTCACAAACAACCAAAAGGAATCCAACTAATGGGAAACAATGGAATTACTTTTCACCCTGGCATTTACATTCTGCAACAGCTGATAAAGATTAAAGAGAGTGTCTTTATAGATCCTGCAGGACTACAACTGAGGACAAAAAACATCTGAGGTATATCATGTTAATTTTTATTTGCATATATTTAGCAGTATTTAGATCTGTGTCATGTCCTTATGAATTCAGCATTGTCACCTGTAATGAAAAATTACACATCACAATATTGCTGGTTTAACCTTCCACTTGCATCGTTGAAGCCTTGGTTGCTCTGTGACTTGGTGTCAGTGAGACAAAATGTTGCATTGCATCACTGCCAATTGTGCAAGATAATTGACAATATCATAGAATTTGGCAGTTTCACATCAGGGTTGAGATCATCTATTGTCATGCTGTTGAAGTTGCAACGTTAAGGCTGAACAACAACCTAATAATGAAAAATAGCAGTTTCAGTTATTTTATTTATAATGTGACCATCATTTGGAAGCCAATGAGCAGAGTGCATGCTCTTCTGTTTGCTCATAGTGCTCTTTAACTTTATTTACTGGTGGTATTGTTTGATGTGGTTTAACTAGAGCCTAAAACTCTTAAGAGAGGTTGGGACGAAGAAGGCCTTTGGCTCATTTGATCTTATCTTTTCATTTTTTATCATTTCACCCCAAAATATAGTCAATTCACTTTGCAGTGTATTCTGTGAAGCATTTTGAAATTGCCTCGGCATAAAATTCAGTTTGCTCTCTGGAAAGTTCAATCTCTGTCTAATTTTCAGTGAACTGCTGTAGTATTAAGATATAGCCCTTAACAAATAGACTCTGTAGATTAGCTTTATTCAGTTCCTGCTCAATACAAATAGCATGAATTCCAAAACGTCAGGGGCATCAGACACAGCTTCATAATTTCCATCCCACCGTTATAACCAGTGGTGGTGGTGATAAAAGTGTCACTAGCAGGGCCTAAGAAATTATGGCTTCCACCAGCCTGACACTCTGCTTGTAAAGTGCCTCTTCAGTATCTCTGTAATTATGGTGTAGGAATAACTTTTTTTATAAAAGATAACTCCGAGTAATTTTCTTATATAATAGTTACTTCAACCAAAAACATTGTTGAACTAAGAAAGAAGACTGTAATTACTCTCATACTCTTAAGATACTGAATTAGTGTAGACTAATAGGGCTTGTGGCATTCAGGTTTGTAACAGATATCTTTGGCCACTGCTTTCTCTTTCCTGTTAGTGAGACTGTCCACACTATAAATGGAGTTGCTCAGGAACACTTTCTGAAGCAGCACTGAGCTATAAATTTAATGTAACACTCACTGATACATCTGTCAGTGTATACATTGTTGATCTAAATAAGAGGCAAGTGTGGTGAGTCTGTCCCTCAGTAGCCACCAAATGATGGTGCATAGGGGCTAATGAAAATGGAATTCATGATATGCCACCTTATTACATTTAAAGTGGTCATTTCTAATAGACTAGGAAGACCTGGTAAGTTTGAACAGGTCGAACTGGGATCAAGAAGGATGGTTGAGCGTACTTCAACAAAGGCTGGTTCAGCAAATGATGATTAATCCTCTATTTGAACTTCAGTGTACAAAGGTCAGAATTCCATTGACAGCATTATCCATGAGAGAGTTCCACAGACAGGGCAATTAGTGCATGAAGCTTTTCTGCTAGTATTCCCTGTCAATCTTTTGCATTGATAGATTGCTGAGATGTAGTGCAACATCTCTGTTTGATATAAACATGGTTTAAGCACCAGCATTTCTTGTTAGGAAGATGAGAAAAGATTGACCTATGAAGCTCATCTCTCTACTACCATATCTTAGCATTCTAGCGAGAGCTCAAACCTACGTTTGTCAGTTATATAATGACCAGTCAGAGACTATACTCCTGAAGAAGCACATTTTTTCCATTTGATGCCTGTTAACCATGCAAGCCTAAGCCCTAATGGGTAGGGTAGTCCATGCAATGAGAAGCTTGCCAATGTTCATAATGATAAGCTGTAAGGTGTTAGTTGGTTAAACACTACAGTATTTGTCAACTTATATCTGATATTTCCCGGAGTTAGGTGAGCGGAGTGTGTGTCCCTGAGGAAAGAGTGCATATTCCATACTAAACATTTTGAAACACTTAACACATGGTGATGTGTTCCTGGACTCTGTGAGCCTATCAACCCCATCCTCGCTTGGCTCCATTAGCTCCCCATACGGCATTGGATCCTTGTTCTCGGTTTTAGACACCTCGATAGCCTCACCCCACCTTATCTCTGATCTACAACCCTACTTCTGCAGCTGCTCCCTCCGCTCAGCAAACATTTCATGTCCCCCAATGGATCCTCCCCACCAACAGTCAGTCATTCTATAATCAATAATGATCCTTATATTTGATATAACATTTTATTGCATTGATTTCCTCATGTTTCTTTCTTCTCTAGTTTCTCAGGGTGGTAGCGGAGAAGATCTCACACCTTGCAGAAATCTTTTGCATCGAGGAGATGGGCAGCCAAGGCATCCAGGAGGTTTTAATGTCGGCAAAAGTGACCGCACTAGCAAAAGATCTCAGGCAAAGTGCAGCTATTATCAATGTAAGGAATTGCAGGCTTTTAATTTCCTGAAGCTTCTTTCCAGTTGTAAAATGCATAAATTAATTGATTTTGGTACATGAATTGACTTGAATTAATCGATATTTAGTATTTGTGTGCTCAAATATCCCCTGTGTGACATTGAGAAGGTCTTTAATGTCTTAATAGTATAGTGTTAGATAATGACTGATGTAAGGCTGGTATGTGTTAGAGCAGTATCTAATGTAAGTCTGATGTTTTCTCTAAAAATAGTCAAAGTACCTTTTTTACTTCACAGAATACACCAATACACTGCTTTTTAGATCCTACACTATTTGATCTTCTCGCTCCCTTCTAAAGACTGGAGTTCTTTTATATTGATAGGGAAAATTGAATATCGGAAGAACCCTTTAATTTTGTCTGGTACATCCCATTTGTTCTTTGGGCCATCCCTGTTCAATTATCTTCACAAGGACTTTACACAATGCTTAGGGAGTTATTATTGCCCTTGTAAGCACTAAAGTATGGCCGGCCTTATCCTTGGGGATTTGTGTGAAAAATAGACCAGGGAAAATTATTTTAATGCATTGATGGATTAACAAAAAAGTACAGTGGAAGTTGCGTTAATCTTGGACAAAACACCTGGCCCCAATTCATTTGTATTTCCTGTTTTAAATATACCGGTTAATTCATACAATAATCCGGACAAAATGCTGTGCTGGTTGCCGTCGAACATACTCACTCGGGCATTCTGTGACTTGAGTGGCTCCAGTCAGCCAAGAGGGGGCTCCAGGATGGAGATGGGAGGAGTCTAATTGTGATTAACAGCGGACTACAGCCATTCACAAGTGGCTGGAGTTGGGCTGTCAATCAGTGAGAGGGCGGAGGAACGGGGAAGGAATTTGAGGAGTGAAATTGTGATTGTTTGACAGCTGGAGCCACTTCTGATTGGGTGGAGCCCAAACATTCATAAGTGGCTGCAGGCTGTCAGTCAGCTCGGAGCAGCCACTAATTGGTCAACGTACGGTCCAAAGGGAAGGGCAATGGGATGGCGGCAGCGCTGTCGCTCCTCTACTGGGAAAGAAGAGGTAATGGTATTTTAGTCCACATCGGGCACCGCTTAAACCAGACAAAACGGCAGGTCCCGACGTGTCCGTCTTAACCAACTTCCACTGAATATATTTTACACAGTAAATTGATATTTACTTCTCTGGCAGCAACAGCAGATTGAAATATGATTTATGTTATTTTTTAGGCATTCTCAGAGAAAGTATTGAAGATATTTTCAGCCGACTGCAAAAAGATGACAATTGAAATATTTGAGCAAACCATGCCTGTGGGAAGACACTGGAGAATAAATTACCGATCAGGTAATTAGACTGTAGAACTTTCAAACATACTCTATTCATAATATTTGTCCATTGTTCCTTAAAATCTGTCAATTTGTACAGTCCTGTAGTTCTGAGATGCTACCCTGCGAGAAGCGCTCTAAATAAATACAAATTGTTATTGTTAATAATAATCCTTGCATTTGATATAGGGCCTTATCACATCTTTGAGACATCTCACAGCGCTTCACAGAATATACTGTAAAGTGAATTGACTGTATATTTTGTGGACGTAACACAGCAGCCAATTGTGCACAGCAGTGTCCCACAAACAGTTGTAGATTGAAGTGACCAATTTTTTATCATTATTTATATATTTTTTTGAAGGAATTATTACCCCCGGAAAAGCAATTTGCCAATCGAAGAACAACCTATTTACTGCTAGGTAAACAGAGGTGTGTGGAATAAGGAAACTTGCCCAAAATTTCACCTTGCCGGGAATCAAACCCAGGTCTCTTGCGAGTGAGGCGAGTGCTCTAACTGAGCTACAGGATTCCTGTTGTTACAACAGGAAGGTTGGGAATCCTTAAAATCCTAATCCTCATTATAACAAGTGGCAATAGCGAGTTTCACTAGGCACATGATATCCGGCCGACTTTTTCGCTGTACACAGACCAGTTCTTGTACTAAAAGAAACACTCCAGGCTTCCAGGTCATCAGGTCAACTCCAATGTCACTGACACAATAGGTCGAATAACCTTCTGTGCTGTAAGCTTTCTGTGGTCCTTCAACGATACCTGATAGATGCACAAAGTAAGAAGTGAGATTGTCAGTGATGACGAAGAAGTTAGCCATTTTTTAAGCACAGATAGGTAAAATGTCTGATTTTCAAGACATCAGGTCGCTGCTGACATCACTTCCTGAGCATGTGCAACAAAGCAGGAAGTAACAGTGACCTAATAATCCCAAAGTCGGCCATTTTAGGGCTGGCCCCATGCATGTGCAGTCAATGGGTTTGGAAGAAATTTGGGCAGGGGGAACGAAGAATAAAGATTTGACTAACATTATCTGTTTTTAAATAATGTTGCCTGTATGTGGTTTCGTTTTGAATTGAAGGTAGATTGAAACCGAGCTTTATTATTTGGTTTGTTCACTTATAATAATCCTTGCATTTATATAATGCCTTATCACGTTGTCGAAAGACGTCCTAATAAATTACTGGTTGAGTGAAGTTTGACTTCATTATTGTAACATGAATGAATCTTCCAACTATCTTTGTACAGATATTTGAGGATTTGCTTCATTTAATTCAGCGAGCACTTTTCAAATTGATGAATGAAATTGAATCATTTTTTGTTCACTTCAGTTGAGCTCCCAAGCAACCCCAGTGAATATGCAACTGCTGCTGTACAGGCTGTGATTGGCCAGGTTCTGGAGGGAATCCAGCCACTTCCAGAAGATGCTCAAATCATTCCTTTAACCATGGCCTTGACTGCTTTTATGGAGGGCTGGATGGATCATATTCTTAAGCAAAAGATCAAATTCAGGTAATCTTTTAAAGAAGGTTATCAAACATTTTAGATCCCCTATCAAATAAACGCTAATGTGTGCATGTTATATTTCATATACCCAAGGCAAACATTACAAATATCTGCAAAGCATTACTTTAATTAGTTGAAAATTATGTTGTTTTCCACACTGATCAAAATAGCAATGAGTGGAAGTGTTATAAACTTGTAATTAGTGTTTCAGATGATGATTCAGTCTTCACAGTTTGTCATAGAAATTGGTATCTATTGCTTCCTTTCTAAGTTTTGTGCATCAACCTATAATAATAGTAGGGTTTTACTAGGATGAGGAATTTCAATTTTGAAGAGATATTTGAGAACTTGGAGCTTTTTTCGCAAGTGCTGAGAAGGTTATGGGGTGACCTGATACAGTTTTTCAAGATGAGTGGAGGGAAATTGCACTGTGACTGTTAATGTAGCATTTGAGAGCATCCAGAATTTGCCAAATTGTTCAATTCAGTCTTAACTTTGAAGTTGCTTCTCTATAGTTCTTAGAATCACCGAATCTTACAGCACAAAAGGAGGCCATTCAGCCCATTGTGTCTGTAATGGCTCTTTGAAAGAGCTACCAACTAGTCCCACTCTCTTACCCCATAGCCCTGCAAATGATTCCTTTTTAAGTACCTATCGAATTCCCTTTAGAAAGCTATTATCGAATCTGCTTCCACCACCCTTTCAGGCAGTGGATTCCAGACCATAACTACTTTCTGGGTAAAAAAAAATTTCTCCTCGTCTCCCCTCTGATTCTTTTGCCAATTATCGTAAATCTGTGTCCTCTGGTTACTGGCCCCACCTGCCAGACGAAACAGTTTCTCCCTATCAACTTTATCGAAACCCATCATAATTTTGAACTGCTCTGTTAAATTTCCCCTCAACCTCCTCTGCTCTAAGGAGAATAATCCCAGCCTATCGAGTCTCTCTACATAACTAACGTCCCTTATCCTTCTGTGTCTTAAAAGAACTTACAGAAAAACAGCTTCAAAATTAGCATAGTTAACTCTAGATCATTAGATGCAAAGTAAACCTCCATCTACTTTACTTCATGTACACTATCCAGCACCTTGGGACGTCCTCCTGACGTGAAAGGCGCTATACAAATGTAATCTTGTTATTGTTGTTGTTCAGTAATGGGACTGAAAGGAACACTTAGCATAATGCTTCAAATGTCTCCTGTAACCTAAACTGCTTTCTCTGGAAAATTGACAATTTAAGAGATATCAGTTCCAATAAAGTCTTGCACATTGGAGTGATGTACAGACATTTTGTTTCTGAAAACTGGTAGTTTTGCTGTTCCAGTACCTTTTTGAACACTTTTTTTGAACGCCTAATGTGCCTCAATCCAACCTCAGAAGATCCTATTCAACTCCTTTTCTTCTTAATGCATAAATGAGACATTGATTTTCCACATCTGTCACCCAGTGGTCTTCCTAACTGTTATCGTCAGTTAGTGCTGAATTAAAGGCAATTTTCTGCTGTGAGCCCACACTCTGTAGGAACTGGATCGAAAAGACTAACAAAAGAGTCTTTCATCCCATCGACTTGATTCAAATACACGTTGAAATTGCATTATTAAATTTGGATTTTATTCTTTTAGTGTCCAGGGTGCCTTGCAGCTGAAGCAGGATTTTGATATGATCAGAGATTTAATCCGTTCAGAGAAACATGGATTGTCTTTTGAGGTCAGGCAGACTCTCCTGTCTCTCCGTGTCTTCCAACAAATGGACAATGCCATTATCTGCCTCTTGCAGCAACCTACCAGGAAGATCTATGCCCCATCAAATACCTGGGAGCCATTCCGGAGATGCTGTATGTGTTTAGTGTTTTTCTGTTACATACTTTTATGTAAAATTTTGTCTACGATTCTATTACTCATCAATCTGCAGACACTTAACACCTATTTTATACTATTATTCATAAGTATAGTTAAAGGAAGAAATGTGCAGTTTCTTCTTGCTGGAAAGTGACATATTGCCTCAAGCTACAGGATAGCAAATGCAATACAATACATATATAGCACCTTTCTTGTCGGGAGGACATCCCAAGGTACTCAGCAATCTAAGCTTGACATCCGAGCTGGGTCTGGGAGCTGAATGGCGTGGGAGGGGAAAGAACAATAGTGATTAATTATTCATAATAATTATTAGAAAGGTGCAGTAACGAAGCAGGATTCATATAGCTGTACATAAAGGAACTAAAATCAGATATAAATGTTGTATACATTTCTCTATGCTTTAGGGAATATACATATTTCAAACTTCAGTTCAAACAAAGACAGGAAGTCATTTGTGATTTTGTCAAGCACTGTCTCGGTGCTGTGGGCTGGGCGGAAACCAAACTGGAGAGGCTCGAGTAAGGAATTAAGGGAAAAGTGTGAGTGAAATTGGTTGGCAACAATATGAGATGCTGTCCGGCATGGAGGGCGTTATATAAATCCAAGTTATTGTTGTTGTTATGTTCCAGGACCTTGGAGAGGAAGGCCAAGTTTGAGATGGGCTGATAGTGTGCAAAATTTGAATAAAACAAGGGTATTATTTCTTACAACAACAACTTGCATTTATATGGTTCCTTTCATGTTGGAAGGATATCGCAGGCCAGGACAGTCGGGTTTGTATCCAAGCTAGAGCATGGATTCTGGAAGGATGGGGGCCAAGGAGGATGGAGAGTGAAAGATGACCAAAGGCATTGTCAAAGAGGAAGAGCCTGAGACTGATCTTGAAGGGGATGAGGGAAGAGGCTCGGTGAAGGACGGGTTGGTAGGGTTTAAGAAAGTTGCAGAGATAGGATGGGGAAAGACAGTGGAGGAATTTAAAAGTGAGGACAAGGATCCCAAATTCAGTCCTCTAAGGGATGGGGAGATGGGCAATGTTCTGGAGGTGGCGGAAAGCTGAATGTGTCAGAGCAAGGATGTGGGGTTTAAAGAACAGTTGAGAGTCGAACAAGACTCAGAAAAATTACAAGAATTTCTGATCATTTTAATCAGTGTCCTAATGCTACCCATTCAACCTTATTTCAACTTATAAGGACAATGTCTACAATAGTTTCATCTTCATTCATAAGGTACAGAAATGTTCCCACTATTAGAGATGAAGTGGTATCCAGCTCCCCGATAGTTAGTTCTTGAACGTCCAATTTCTGGCTCACTACAACAGCTTGTCATAGTCATGGATTTCTGCCATTTTCACACTGGTGTACAGAATATTAAAGTTTAAGAACACCAATGCAACTTTTTTTCTATTTAAATTCCTCCAATAAGTAACTGGACAACATGCTTCACCCAAACAAATCTCATCATTCTTGGAGAGAAATATTTTCAATCAGCCAATTGCCAACAGTAGCCTTCAACTTGTCCGACCAACTTCACATGGATCACTGTTGCTGATAACTAGGACATTTCTTCAGTAGCTGCTCAGACAAGCCCATTAATCATCAATTATAGGTATTAACAAGCAGCAAGGACACATATCTGTTACACTTCTGTAAAGACCACAACATTCTATTTTGTTCTTACCACTTTACCATTGCTTTGCTGTAATATTTGCTGTGAGGGTTCATCCACAAAACACGGTTACTCCACTTTACAGTATAGTATATCCTGTGATCGTACTTTGAAACATCCTCATGATGTGAAAGATGTTGTACCAAGTGCAAGGAAAAAATTCTCACCACTTTAACCTCAGCAATGCCTTTGTTAACCTTAAAGCGAGCAAAATTATCTCACTGATTTCCTAACCCAGCTTATAATTGTCTCAACACTGGACGCATTCTATGGCGTCCCTTGGCAGATGTCATAGGAGCACATCCTCTATGTTGAAATTGATTTCATCTGACCTTTATAAAAGGAGCCCTTCTGAGTGTAGATCGCTCTGAAAATACAAAACCTACTTAGCAAATAAGAGCCCATAAAGGATTAGTACTTTATACACTCTTGAGATATTATTACTATAGTAGTAGCTTGGATAAGAAATTGGCTGGGAGACAGAAAGCAGAGGATAGTGGTAAATTATTATTTTTCAAACTGGAGGGAAGTGTACAGTGGTGTCTCCAGGAGTCGTTATTAGGTCCACTGTTCTTTTTGATACATGTGAATGACTTGGACTTGGGTATAGAGAGCAACATTTTAAAGTTTGCAGATGACACAAAACTTGGAACCGAAGTAAACAGTGAAGAGGATGGTAACAGACTGCAAGAGGACATAGACTGGTGAAATGGGCAGACACATGGCAGATGAAGTTTAATGCAGAGAAGTGTGAGGTGATGCATTTTGGGAGGAAGAATGAGGAGAGGCAATATACAACACAATATAGAGGCAATATACAATACAATAGCTTTAAAGGGGGTACAGGAGCAGAGAGGTCTGGGGGTTCACATACAGAAGTCTTTGAAGATGGTAGGACAGGTTGATAGAGCCATTAAAAAAACATTTGGGATCCTTGGCCTTTATAAATAGAGGCATAAAATACAAAAGCAAGGAAGTTCTGCTAAACCTTTATAAGTCACTGGTTAGGCCTCAGCTAGAGTATTGTTTTCAAATCTTGGCACAACACTTTAAGAAGGATATCAAGCCCTTGGAGGTAGTGCAGAGGAGATTTACCAGAATGGTACCAGGGATGAGGGACTTTAATTATGTGGAGAGACTAGAGAAGCTGGGATTGTTCTCCGTAGAGCAGAGAAGGTTAAGGGGAGATTTAATAGAAGTGTTCAAAATTATGAGGAGTTTTGATAGAGTAGATAGGGAGAAACTGTTTAAACTGGCAGGTGGGTGGATAAACAGAGGACACCGATTTAAGTTAATTGGCAAAAGAATCAGAGAGTTATTACAAGTTTCACCAGGGAATTGGATGGGTACTTCAAGAGGAAAAATTTGCAAGGATATGGGACAAGAGTGGGTGAATGGGATTGATTGGGTAGCTCTTCCAAAGCGCCAATACAGGCACAATGGGCCAAATGACCTCCTTCTGTGCTGTAATATTCTATGATTCTATGAAAAAAAGTCATTTCATCAGCATTCTTCTCCCTGATGAGGAGAGCAGATTTATCCCGTATTTATTTTTCCATAATTCCTGCTGTTTGGAAACCTCATGGAAAATAAATGTGTGATAAATCTACTTTCTTCATCATAATGAAGAATGCTGAATTCCCCCCCCATCAAAAAAAATTATATTGCATTATTTCTATGGAATAAGCTGGGGAGGGGAGGGTGACCAGATGTAAATGTTTAAAGTTTGCTTTGTTTTTGAAGCTTTGGGAACCAGTTATTTATATAATGATGTACCTCATTCAGCTTTTGAAAGCTGCATTTTCATTGCATCCTTTTTCAAAATAGCTGAGTAACTAAATTCATTGCTGTGCTTTGTTGCAGCTTTTATAACTGAATAAATAAGGGTGCTCAAACAAGGTTTTCAAATGCCTCATCACTTGAGGATATTTATAATTAATATAAACTCTATAATGCTTTTGTGGTGAAACTCTTGAATCTGTTTCTTAATCCAGTGTAGGCTAAATAGAAGCGCCTATGTTAGGCTTTCAATTCTGTGACCTTCCTAATGTATCTTTTCTTTGCTGTAGGCTCCTCTTCCACCAGGACAGTTGACTTCAGTCATGGGAGCTTGAATAGCCTTGACAGCCTGGATTTGCAGACTGGAAGGACCAGAGCAATCTTACAGCCTGAAGCTCCCACAGCCTCTGACCTTCTCAGCAAAATTAGGGCAACTGGGCACCCAGAGTCCTATTTGGCTGTAAATCAGCAGGAGTGGCTTGCACTGAGAGTGGGTAGTGATAGACGGTGGAAAGCACTCCGTTTGCCTTGTATGAAGAAGAGCCCTGAACAATGATTTGTTAATATTCTTAGCACTGTGCTCCCCAAGTGTTTCATTTTGATTTCTAAATTATAATATCCATTTAAAGTCTGAGCCATAGAAAAGTATTACACCAAAGCACTTTAATGCATGCTTTTTCCTTTCATTTGAAATACTGTGCTAGTTTGGAAGCATTCAGCCTTGACTTATCTGAACTGGGAAAGGGTTAAGCTTCCTTTATGGTCAATAATTGACCTTGATTCAAGGGAAAATCTTGAGCTGTTTTGTAACTCTTGTGAAAAATGAACATAAAGTTAAATATTAAAAAAATGATGATAGACCTAAAACTTTCTTTGGTGAATGTCTCTATGTTGTTTTACAGAAGCAAACTAGACATTCTTAGTTTACTTACTTTTACCTTTTTCTACGTGCATAAGGTGCTAATTTTGTTGTATTGCATTTCACAAAGATTCTATATGCACTTTTTTTTAACCTGAAAGTGAGTTATGTAAGAATTTGACTGTCATCTTCTTACATATAAAGTAAACCGAACTCGAATGAAACCTCATTACCAAAGGAGTCATCTCTGGTGGTTTACATAGTCTTTTAAAAAAAAGTTAAAATTTTTCAATTGGATTGTGTTTAGAAGAGACTTTGTATTTTTGGGGATCAGGCAAGAAAAACAAAACATAATACATATGTTTTGTCTGGTTTTCTTTCCCATGAAGGAGTTTGTATTCAAATCATATTAAAAGTGGCATTACCGTTCTCTTTGTTTAAATTTGCAATTTTTAAGTACAGAATATCAGTTTTTAAAGTAATTTAAAGGATTACACAATTTCATTGGTGCGCTTTCCCAGTTGGATGCGATGTAAGATGCGCAGTGGAGGCATGTCTAATGATTCAAGGCTGGCAAGATTTCCAAAAGCAATAATAGATAAATCTTTATTGACAGATTTTTTTGCTCAACCGGGTGTCTGACACCTGCAGAAACCTTTCGCCATGCTTAAGAGTATCCAAACCAAACAGAGTTCCACATTTCCTTCTCCACATGGAAATTTCCATATTTGGAATGGAATGTGCACTCTTCCCCGGAGGGACACATCCTGCTTACCTAATTCCAGAGAATATTAGGTGCAGTTTGGCAAAGACAGGGCTTGGAAACCTCCAATGAAGTGTGTGTTTGGGTACTGCTGGAGTTCAACCACCTAAGACTCCGTAGAATGCCATTGGGAGAACTATCTGGCAAGCTTCACACTTCTTGTCCAACTAGCACCACCTTTATCTTGGCTTGACTTGGGTTAACTTGAGAAGAAAGCCTGCGCCAGTGACCAATAAAGGTAGATTCCAAGCCCTGGATATACAACACACATTTACATTTATATAGCATCTTATGTCAGGAGGATGTCCTAATGCACTGGGTGACAGTGGAAGTAATCAATAGGTACCTATGTGTGTGTGTGTGTATTGTAATAATCCTTGAATTTGGTATATCACCTTTCACGTCAGGAGGACGTCTCAAAGCACTTCACAGGATATATTGTAAAGTATAGTGACTACATTTTGTGGGGGTAGATTCACTAGATTATAGGTTTATGGATGTGTATATGATAATAATAAACAAAGGGATACTATTATCGGTATTCTGAATTCATAACAGTAGCTCTAATGCAAAACTAAATTATTGACAAGGAGCCAAACTGCCATTAATTTTTATTTTAAACTTATTAGCAACCTTCCTTTTATGATGGTTCTTAATAATCCAATTGTTGATTACTGCAATTCTCAAGTTCATTTATTTATAGCTACCAGGTAAAACGCTCAGAATTGTTCGTATTTTAAAAGACTCGGGAGACAATTGTGACAGCAGAAAGTGGCTGAGTGAGGATTTATAATGAGAAGGACATTAGTTTGAGTGTTGGTGTTGCTTTCATTTAAAACTTGCCTGATTCTGAACGGATGCCAGGTGTCAGTTGAGCTGCTGAGTACAAAGACTTGCATCACTTGATCCTTGTGCCACACTTGTTAATCACATAGCAGCATTGACAGTAATCTTGAAGCTATCTATAGCTTAGACTTCCCTGCTCTCGCCTGGATAAGGAATATTGTGGCAATTGGGTGAAATTGAGGAGAAATGATAAAATCCTCAATATCAATATAGCTCCCTTCATAAAGGATCAGCCTTGCCACCTAAAGTAATTTGCTTCATACTTCAACTTGGGAAAATTGACCTTGACCCTTTGGTAGGCTGTCCTCCCAATGTTGTATTTTGAGTGACTAACTGAAATCTCAAATGATGAATTGCTCAGAGTAATAGATGAATTTACATGATTATACAACTTGACAACTATTTAATCCAACTTTTGCTTATGGTTGGAGTCGTTAATTATCATTAGTTAAGCTGTGCGTTGCTCCAGGTAGTGCTCACTACATTTCCAAGACACAAGGTGAATTTCCACATGTGGGTGGCATGTATATGTAGAACTATGTCCAGTTTGGATACTCTTAAGCATGATGATGGGTTTCTGCACGTGTCAGACATCTGGCTGACCAAAGGAAAAAACCATACAGACTAGGTGGGATTTCTTGTGGTCTTATATCATGACCATCACAGGTGGTCTGTATTGATGGGCACACATCCTTGACTGTCCATCACTTTGGGACATCCTCCTGACATGAAAGGCACTAAACAAATGGAATTTTTTGTTGTATTAAGTTTGCTGCATTTAACTATCAGATAACTTGTGCAATGAATGAATAACCTTTCTTTGTATTCTGTGGAAAAGGTTTGTATTTAAAACTTACCTGCTATTACCTATTTAGTCTCGAGCAGGCAATCTCAGGACAATCTGCTGGACTTTGTACCTTCATTAACTGATTTATAAACTTTAAAAAATGATGCAATTAGACCACCAGCTACCTCTGGAACACTTTGAGATAAGCGTTTAAGCATGTTAAATTAGGTTTAGGACAATGAAAGTGGACTTGCTAATTTGGACATTTAAGTCCCTAGCTGTTACCACCGTGGATATTAATCCCTGCTGTGGGAGTGCTGTTCGTTCTCAGTGAGCTCCATTAAAGCTCAGAAATGGCTAAGTAAGAGCGTGATCGCAGTACAGAAGTCACCACGCTGGGAAGGTTGAAGCTATTTTAAGCATTCAGGTAATGACGCCAGCATCTCTCTAGCCAATGTGCAAGTTTCTGCAGACTCGCTGCTACAGCTTCTCTTGGTATTCACTCCCCGCGATAGCTCCTAAGAGTCAACCTCAGCTAACGATCCTGTGAAGTGGATACCTGCCTTTGGCCAGGCTGACTGGGATTTTAAGGGCAATGTCCACTCAGCAGTTGTAAATAAATAAAAATAATCCTTACATTTGTTGTAGTGCCTTCCACATGGGAGGACATCTCAAATATATCTGAAATACTGTATATCTCAAATATGTCACAAGCTACACTAGAGTGAAGTGGCAGTGTATTTTGTGGAGTCCTGTAGCTCAGCGGTTAAAGCACTTGCCTCGCAAGTGAGAGACTTGGGTTTGATTCCTGGGCAGGGCGAACGGTTGGGTAAGTTTCCTTACTCCACACGCTTCTGTTTACCTAGCAGTAGTTGGAACCCAGTTGCCAGTTGATTAGTGGATTGCTTTTCCGGGGGTAATAATCCCTTAAAAAAATTATAATTTGGTCATTCAATCCTCGACTTTGGGACACTGCTGTGCACAGTTGGCTGCCCCGTTTTGCCCACAAAATAGTTAATTCACCTAACAGTATATTCTATGATACGCTTTGAGACGTCTCGAAGAATTGATAAGACGCTATATATCAAATGCAAGGATTATTATTATTATTATTTTGGTCACCGGCTGCATATGGAAACCCATCACCATGTGTAAGTGTATCCAAACCAGATGGAGTTCTACATGTGGCACCTATACCTGAAAATTCCTACGTCTGGAAGGAAATGTACATTCTCTCCCCAGAGGGACAAGGAGCAGACTGGCTATAATAATAATAATCCTTGCATTTGATACAGGGCCTTATATCGTTGAGACGTCTCAAAGCTCTTTACAGAATATACTGTAAAGTGGATTGACTGTGTATTTTGTGGGTGAAACGGACTGTAGAGTCCTGTAGCACGCTTGGCTCACAAGCAAGAGGACCCGGGTTCGCCCACAAAATAGACCTCAACCACTACCTAAATCAGACACTATCAGACCAGACCTGTGCAATTCTGTGACTGGATTCATAATGTTTGCTTAACTGACAGCATGTTTGCCGACTCTGCAATTATTCCATCTTTAGAGTAATTCAGTGTTACTAATACAAGGCTAATAATCCTGGAAGATTAAACTTGTCACGGTTTAAATTATCAATAATAAATAAATACCCCTGCAAATCCCCTCAAAAACTCTTTGCTCCATTGTTAGTTTTTCCTCAAAATGAATGGGAGTCAGAAAGCAATTAGACTCTCTAATGACAAAAATATTGATTCAGTTAACATTCAATTCATATCTAATTTGTTTGGTGTCCTCTGAATACACACAGTCATTATATACTGTGTATTAAAAAAAAGTTAAAAAGGGTTAGAGTAGATTTGCCCCAACATTCTTTTTGAAATTAAGCTTCTTATCAGCGATGTTTTATCTATTTATTGATCCCTAAGGTACCCCTAAGATTGCTGCCACCATGTAATAAGGTTCAGAGAACAGCAATGATGGTGCCACCTCTACAGCACTAGATTTGTATTTTGAGGCAGCAAAATCCAGACTCCACAAGTTGCCCAAGCAAAGAAGCGCAGTGGTTAGTGCCCTTGCTTTGCAAGCGAGAGGACCTGGGTTCGATTCCCGAGTGGGGTGAAACGTTACACAAGTCTCTTTACTTCACATGCCGCTGTTTACCTAGCAGTAAGTAGAAAGCCGGTAGTTAGTCAATTGGGGGATTGCTTTTCCGGGGGTAATAATAATAATTTGGTCACTTAAACCACGACTGTGTGCAATTGGCTGCTGTGTTTCGCCCACAAACTATACAGTCAATTTACTTTATAGTATATTCTTTGAAGCACTTTGCGACGTCTCGAAGACGTGATTGGATGCTATATCAAATGCAAGGATTATTATTATTACTTGTCAGAAGTGGTTTATTCATAGAGTTGTGAAGGGATGTGGTTCACTATAATTCAGTGTGGAGACACACAGCCAGGCAGACACTGGTGAGGAGAGAGTGCTGTTATAGCAGAGAGACACTGTGAGTCCCTTGGTGAGGAGTGTTGTACAATGGAGAGACACGATCCATGAGATTAGTGCTTTTACAGTGGAGAGACACAGTGTGTGCTGTTATAGTGTGCTCTGGG